GCACCCGCACAGAGGGGCACACACACAGACGGGCACACACACAGACGCCCGTCCCGCTGCAACCCGCCCCGGCGGATCAGAGCTCGAGTGCGCGGCGGGGCGGCGGCACCGACTCACGCTGCCGGTGCCGCAGAACTCCCCACCACCGCCGCCGCCGCTCCCGCCGCCGCCGCGCCCCCAGCGCGCCCCGCCCGGCCCCGGGGCCCGCCCCACCCGCGGCAGAGCCCTCCTCCGGACCATCGGCGGGCGCGCATTGGCGGGGCGGCGGGCGGGGCGGAGCCCGCGGTGTATATGAAGGGGCGCGGCGCGGGGAGCGCGGCTGCTCCGTGCCCCGTGCGCTCCGCCGCGCTCCCCCCGCCGCTCCCGCGTCCCCCCGGCCGCTCCCCCGCTCAGCTCCGCCGGGCCGGTGTCGCCGGGGCGGGCGCACCCACCCGCACCTTCCTGGTGCCGCGGAGCCCGGCCGGGCCCTGCCCGCTCCGCCCCCCGAGGGCTGTAGAACTCTCCACGCCGCTCGCCCGCCCCGCCGCTCGCCATGGCCCGCGGGAAGGCCAAGGACGGTGACGGCAACTGGAAGAAATTCATCTGGAACTCGGAGAAGAAGGAGCTGCTGGGCCGCACCGGGGGCAGCTGGTGTGAGTGCGGGGCCGGGGGGCGGCGATGCGGCGGGCGCTGCAGCACGGCCCCGGCGCTCCGCCTCCGCCGGCTGCGGCGGGGCTGCGGCCGGGGCGGGGGGGGCTGGGGACAGGGTGTCCCCGCGGGGCGAGGGAGGGAGGGACGGGGTCCCCCTGCCCGCTCCCCTCGGTGCCCCGTGGGACCACGTGGGGGCCGGCGGGCGCTGCCCCCCGAAGTGTGGCTCCAGGTGGGGCCGGGGGTGAGGCAGGGTCGGGCCGACCTTGTCTGAGGGCGCCTCGTCCTTGGGTCTCCTTCCTTTCCCGGCGGCTGGCCCGGCCCGGGAGCATCGCCGTCGGGGGAACCTGCCCTCCCAGCCCTCATCTGCTGTAGGCTGCACAGTGGCTTTTTCTCTTTTATTTTTTTGTATTTTCTCTGGATAAATGAAACCAAGCGAGTTTTACTCCGCCGAGAGGTAGCAATTGACTTCTAATGTCTCCGCAAGAAGGAAATGGCTCTATGTGCATTCCTGATTACATGCTCATGATGTATCCCTGGGTGCTGTACAAATAGCATTTAGACTACAGAGGCTTTTAACAATTTCTTTATGCAAATAGACAGTCTTCCAGTTGCTGCCAACCACAGCTGCTGTTGCCACCCTTGCGATGTTGAATTCAGCTCCTGTTGTAATGGATCAGCCGGAGATGCCACATCCAGAGCCGCCAGCTCTGGCGTGCGGACTAGAGCAGGCATCTGCCGTATCTTTACGTGAGCAGAATTGGGTTGTGGGTGCGCATGGATAGGTATTTTCTGCTCCTGAGGCACCAGGCAACTGCGCAGTGCTTCAAACGCGGAGGCTGAACCAGGTCCTTCTCCCAGAGTGCCCATGCCTATCTGCCTAGGACTGATTTGCGTTTGCTGAGTCGATCTGCAGGCTGATGATCAGATTCTTCTGTTATAAGCCTACCTGTTGCAGGAGGCTTTCTATTTCAACCCTATGGTGCTCGATTCCTAGACCCACTGCATTTTTTCTGAGACCTTGGAGTGGTTTTGACCTTTAAGGTGTCTTTGGCGTTTAGAGCATCCTGGCTGGAAACCTGATTAAGTAAGCTACCTCCCAGCGTTTGCCTTTTGATGTTACAAAACTCAAAGGCATTACGCTGCAGACAACAGCATTAGTGTTTGGTTTGTTACAACAGCACCTCCTATGACCGTGCTCTGGAAAAAATTTCCACACGTCCCTGACGTCACTGCCATTTGCTTTACGCTGCCTGGATACCAAAGAGTGCTTTAACTCCTGGAGCACCACGTTACTTCACCCAGCTCTGCCCTCCAGCCCTGGCTGCCTCCTCTGCCTCTGGTGCACAAGAGGAAGACAAGAGGATGGAGTGCCTTTCTGACAGTGTTCCTCAGCCTCTGTGTCGCTGGCTATCCCTCCTGCTTGCCTGTCTTTCATAGACTTTAAACGACCAGAACAGCCAGCTTTCATTGTGAGGCTTCTCCAGTGAGGTAGCTTTTTTTTTTTATGATGGGGCTGGGGAGTGAGGAGAAATACTTCCACCTACTTCTTCCTCCCCTTTCCTTGTCGCTCATCACTTCAGGTCCTTCAAATAAACCATGTCTGTTTTGTTTGTAACTAGATAAGGACAGTCTGAGATCAAGCAGGCTCACTCTCAAGTACTCTTTGGCCTCTGCTTTTTCCTGCAACCTGATTAGCATATAGTTGCTTGGCATGGGCTAGTTTATCCTTGTAGGCAGCCTGGTGATGCATAGTATGGCATGTTACTGTGCAGTTAAGCAGTTGAGATAATCCTTGTAAACTGGTAACTGATACCCAGAGTCTGAGCCATTCTGCATCTCCAGTCTCTTCTCTGTTCTTCCTACCCTCTGCCTTCTGCCCCAAGATTGTTCGAGATATTCCCTTTAGACCAAAACTACATCCAATCTTTCTTTATTATTCGCTCTTTAATTGGTGTGACCAGTGCCAGAGTGCCTTTGTAGGCAAGGCTGGTGAATCTGCAGTACTGTGACATGTTATGAGTACTTTCCTACATGTAAGATGGAGTACTGGAGCTAATTTGGGCCTGAATTCTGTTCCTGTTGTCTTTATTGGAAGTGATGGCTTGAATTACTAGGAGACATTAGGCTTTACAATTGCTCGTAAACCTAAATGAAACAATTACTGCTACTGCTCCCAGAAATAGCTCTGAACCCCAAGCACATCCATAGTATGGCCTTTTGCTCTTGGGTACTTGGATCACAGTCTGTCAGCTGCAAGAGCCCTCTATGGTAGTTCTGGGTCAACCAAGGGATCCTTTAAAATACAAGGGAATGTGGTTTAGTCTTTATGATCCCAAATCCTGATTCGTGGATTTCTAGATTTTCAGGGACTCATGCTTTCTGCCCCCCAAACAACTGGAGTGATTTTCATTTCCTGTCTGCATCAGGGCATAATCTCACTGTTACCTATATGTCTTTTGAACATCTGAATTCAATGTGCTGGCTTTTCCTTGTAAGTGGCAAAGGTGGGAAATTCTGTCCTGAAACGTGACTGCTGTGAGGGCTTGATTTAATTTCTCTTTTTGTTTGTTTTCTCTTGCAGTTAAGATCCTCCTCTTCTATGTCATCTTCTACGGTTGCCTGGCAGGTATATTCATTGGGACCATCCAAGTGATGTTGCTCACTGTCAGTGAATTTGAGCCCAAATACCAGGATCGAGTGGCACCTCCAGGTAACTAAACAGGAGGCCTGTGTTTGACTTGGTGCAAGCTGTTCTGGGGAGGCGGGGTTGGTTACTCACCTCAAGAAGGAGGATGAAATAAGCATGTTGCTGCAACACATATTTGTAGGGGGTGGGTATGTTCTCAGCCTTCTATGTTAGCAGTACTGGGGCTCAAAGGCAATCCTGCTAGATTTAAAGGTTGCATCACATGAAAGATGTCTCCTCTCTGAGAGGAGCTTAAACTTGGTTTGCTT